ACTCTTTGGACTCACTGGAGATTCCACCCAGGCTCATCAATTATCTCAAACACAAGTCTATGAGCAGTGCATTGATTTACTGACAAACCAGAGCATATTCAACTGTGCCTTACTAAAGGACAGACTCAAACAGACACTGGACTGGTAGACCATACAGTCAGAGGGTTTTGACCTAATGACATGGACTCGTATGCAATCTCACTGACGGACCGATACACTGCTAACAAACTCTGTTTACATGTATGGTGTGTTCAACTTGAACATCCTCATGCATTAATTTGTGATAGTCATTCAAATTTGTAATATCTAATATTATGTAATATGACCAGAAGTGTTGTCTAAAAGAGTCAATGCTGTAGAATTATGCATTGTCATATAGCCTTGTTTCTCTCTTTTCACGATCATCTGGAGGTTTTTATTGTTTCAGTAAATTAAGCTGTTGTAAAACAGATTTTTGCTGATTAATTACTTTTTTTGTTGATTAGTAACAGCTTGATGATATATGCAAGATTGTCGGTAACTGTCTTATCAATCTTAATATGATATATAAAATCCATTGTAATGTACTTGTGTCTATGAATTCCTTGTTTAGAGGGATGCATTTGTCCAACAGATGCTGTATAACCTCTATTGTGCAGGTAGAGTGTAATGGAGATCATTCTGTTCATGTGAGGTTAAAGACTTCAAAATGAAGATCAGTTCCAGAGTCTTCATAATAAGGATTTATCACCCGTATTGAAGTTTGTAGCTTGAGGATTTCATGTGTAGCAGTCTGTGCTAATGGGATATACAAATGTGCTTCTGCAAGTGTATTTTGACAACATTATTCTGCTATGGATGACAGCTGGCTTGTTAGTTTGTTCATAAAATTTAAGTACTGAACATTTGAATGTTTATCTGTGTTATTTCTTTATATTTACATTTATGCAGTCATTTGAGCTGCTGGTTTCCACAGAGAATGTTTTTTTTTGTGTCATAAAATAGTGTTATTGCACTGATGTGGCAAACTTAAAATACTAAATAAGGCAGTAAAATTAAATATTAGGCTTTTATATTGTCATTACACTAAAAAAAATCTAACCACTTTTAAAATTAGGCAAAAACCAGGAGAGAGACATTTTAATTCTATTCAAAGTTAAAATTTGGAAACTTCTGTCTGTCAACAGTCAACACACACATTTAGTATTTTTTTTTTTCTGTAGACCCCGAGGCAGCCTCTTGTAGGTCCCAGTCATGTTGCGGCAAAACTCAAATTTGAATTGCACAAATACCACTGCTTTAATTACCATATTCAAGAGTTGTAGTACATGTGCAAAAGAGTAGGCTTTAATTTATTTTCATCAATGTCTTGTCAAAATTTATTGTATATTGTTATTATTTTTTTTAGTAATATTAATTTTGGCTCCTTGTCGTATTTTTCCCTTGTCTCTGCGGTGTATATGCCCGTGCAGTAAAAGAAATAGATAAACCATAGTACTACACTTCCCAAAATGCACGTAGCACGGAAACGCCGCTAGCCTCTCCAGCGCTCACAACAAAGTGAATCCCTACCATCCCAACCGCGAGCTCCTCCAGCGCTGCGCGAGGAGAGAGCCCAACACTGCACGCTCGGGCGGAACAGGTTAAAAAAAATAAGGCGAGTATCGCTCATGTTTCCATCTCTCTGCGTTATTCGCTCTTTCACTGTGTGAGTGGGCTTGCAGAAGCAGCTGTTTGTGTATACAAGTTATGTGAATATCAGTGAAGCGGTCGGGAGCTGGTTAGCGTCTGGGCTAGCGCGCGCCAGTTGCGCGTTCATATCGTAGTGATGGTGTCCAGCTGGGGACACGGTGTGCAATCTGTTGATAGAAGTTTTTTTGTTACTAATAATATTCTTAGTGCAGTAGTCGGTGTAATTGGTCCATAGGATGTAGTTCTTCTGAGTGGACGCTATCTGTATGTGATTCTCCTTTGTTTATGATGAACATACAGTGAGTGTTCAGGCCCGTTGGTTTCATTCAGCTTTTGTTTTGAGCGGTTTAATCCAGCGGAACTTCACTCACGTTATGTGTTGCATTGTAAACGTTTTTACTGTTTATTCTTTATTTAATTAACTTGTCTGCCTCAGTGGTTAACAAATGTATCCAAATTATTTCCACCTATAGATGTGCAAATGTAATTGACTCATTTCATAGCTGAACTACACTGCATAATAATATGCTGATTATAGATAAACAGTGGGGAAACTACAGTATAATGCTCAGTAAGACCCAATACACAATTGTTAACAAAAAGTATCATTTGTAGTATTGTTTTAGTTTCAGTAAAGCCATGTTTACTTGAAGAGTATTTACTTGAGAATGATCAATATGAGCCCAAGAAATCATATTAATATATTTGTAATCGACATGTTGTATATTTTTCTTTACCGAATATAGTAGTTAATTGAAATTCTGAATAATTTCAGGTTTACTTCTCTTTGTGGAGCTTTTGACAGACAAATGAAATGAGTCATTTAGCCATGAAACAACCTGAAACAACCTCTGATTGGTTGTTTTAATGTAGTGTTCACAGTTAGCCAATTGATTTCACATATCAATTACCACAACCTTTTACAACCATGGCACATCCAAATGAATACTCTAACTCTCCAAGCTATGCAAATTCTTCTTCTAGTCATCCACCTCCCCAGCATCACCTGCCTAGATCTGCTATTGGAGTCTTCCTCTCTCTAGCAGCAGCAGCAGCATACAGTGAGGAAAGTTCACAGCCAGTTCTCCCACTTAGAAATCATGGAGGGGTCTGAAATTGTCATTGTATGTGCATGTCCACTGTGAGAAACATAATCTAAAAAAAAGTCCAGAAATCACAATATATTATTTTTGAACTATTTATTTGTATGATACAGCTGCAAATAAGGATTAACACCTGTCTACCAGCTGACCCTCAAAGACCTCTTAGTCTTCCTTTAAAATGTCCGCCTCTACTCCATTTATTATCCTCAATTATTATCCCTGTTTGAGGTCGTTAGCTGCCTAACCTGACAACCTGTCTACTGCATAACCAGACACCTGTCTACCCCATACAATCAGTAAGAATCCAACATGGCCAAGACTAAAGAGCTGTCCAAAGGCACTAGAGACAAAATTGTACACCTCCACAAGGCTGGAAAAGGCTACTTGGAAATTTTCTAACAGCTTGGTGAAAAAAGGTCCACTTGTCAATCTCCCTTGGACTGGGGCTCCATGCAAGATCTCACCTTGTGGGATCTCAATGATCCTAAGGAAGGTGAGAAATCAGCCCAGAACTACACGGGAGGAGCTGGTCAATGACCTGAAAAGAGCTGGGACCACCGTTTCCAAGGTTACTGTTGGTAATACATAAGACGTCATGGTTTGAAATCATGCATGGCACGGAAGGTCCTCCTGCTTAAACCAGCACATGTCAACATGGCCCATCTTAAATTAGCCAATGACCATTTGGATGATCGAGAGGAGTCATGGGAGAAAGGCATGTAGTCAGACTTTTTGGTCATAATTCCACTAACTGTATTTGGAGGAAGAAGAATGATGAGTACCATCCCAAGAACACCATAACTCCTGTGAGGCATTGGGGTGGTAGCATCATGCTTTGGGGGTGTTTTTCTGCACATGGGACAGGGTGACTGCACTTTATTAAGGAGAGGATAACCAGTGCCATGTATTGCTGATTTTGGGGAACAACCTCCTTCCCTCAGTTAGAGCATTGATGATGGGTCATTAAAAAAAATTCTCATTTAAATGACTGCATTGCTCTAATTGATTGTAGGTCTATCCAATAGATTTTTTTTCCTGGTTCGGTTAAAACATGCTTCATAATCAAAGCCCTATGGAACAATATCAGACTCAAACTGACTATGAGTATGACAAAGTCAGGCTACTGTTAGACCATAAAAAACATAAAGTGTGGTTTATTTTTGATTTGTATGTTTATTTTATTGTTTATTTGTACAACTGCTTTTAATTAGTTTATTTGTTCTTATTTTATTACTGACTCTTTACTTGTCTTTAAAAAATATATAAATTCAGTTAAAAGTTTGAAATCAAGCTTTCTTGTGCAGTGTAAGCTATTGCAACAAAATTATCCCATTTTAATGTTAACTCCCCCCTTTTTCTGAGATGAAATTCAGGCCCTGCCTGATAAACTCTATAGTCACTTTAACAGTTTTCTTCATAATGTTTTTTTATGCAGGAAAACACTTGATGTGAAATTGTGCAGTGTGTTGTTCACATTGTTTTTAGGTTCTGGCCTCTTCTTGCTTGTTATTATGCATTGTCTATAATATGTATGAATTTATTGTATGAGTGAGTTGGTGGTAGGATATATTCATATATTTGTTTGTTGGGATTAAAACTCAGTGTTCAGAATAATTTATCAAAAAGTCCCAAAATATCATAACCTGTTATAGCGACTGGTGACACTTTGTTTACTTTTACTATGTAGACTACTACCCATACATCTTGTTTGAAAGGTAATTTTATCATTATCATTGAGCTGTGAAAACAGTCATCTCAACACAGATATACAGTACAGATGTCATCAGATTTCAGTGTTTGAATAAATGTATTGTAAATTTTGTGGCAAGCTTCGCCCCTCAAGTTTGAATGTTGTCTAGAATGTTAGTAGGATCCTCCATGTACAGTATACACAATATTATTACATCTGTCTTATTTTTCAAGGGCCCTGCTGTGTTGTTACCACAATTTAATATAATGTTTTTACATCGCATTATTTTTGAGGCAGGCATACATTCAGAGATGTTTAAAATACTGGATAAAAAAACTATTTAGCAGGCAAAGAAACGTGTGACATTACACAAAATCAATGTTTTTTTTTAATAACATAGGAAGTTAATTTATTGATTTAGAACATTTTCTTTAATTGATCTCCAAATAACATCCATTCTTAGTTCTGTTTTATTTATTTTTAGTTTTGATTGTTTCTAATGATTTGTCTTTAACTTCTGTTTCTTTCACAGGTATAACATGCCTGATAAATACAGTCCCTGTTCCTTCCAGCCTGCCTCTCAGGAAGGAGAGTTTACCACAGTCATGCTCCATTAGCCACATTGATCTGTCACTATGGAGACCGACACAGGAACTAAGGTTGTTGGTGTAACAGGGGATCCACAGCAAGACTCCATTTCCCATGACACCACTCAACCTCAGTCACCCCCTTCTGTGAAAATACGGAAGTCGACTTTCAAGTTTTTTGGAGGTCGGAAGAGCATCTGTGTTCTGCCCAACTTTTTCAGTGGTCGTGGCAGAAGTCAAAGAAAGGGGTCATCAAAAACAGGTGTAACAAAGAGCCAAACATATGATGGGGTGTGTAGAGGATGCTGGGAAGATTTGGGCAAAAGTAGCGGTGAAGTGGCCTCCAGAGACTTTGAGTTCTGCACCTCCAGTGAACCTCAGAAATCATCACAGGACCATGGGAAATCTCAGTCTCTACCGCGGCAGCGCAGAGGTCTTCGGAGTCTTTTCAGCAGCATTCGGAGACACAGGAAAAACAAAAATGTCGAGGTAGACAAGCATGAGGCACTTGAAATGTCTTCAAGCTTCCATTCCGAAACAGTGCCTGGTGCCATGGCGAGCGTCATTGACCGTAGCAATAACCATGGCGTCAGTCAGGGTGAAGTGTTGGTGCCAGATGTGCCTAATCAAACCGCAGGCAGTGGGTGTAAACTGCCATCGGCTGCCACTGAATGTACGAAAGATGTAACGCTAGTGCCTGAGAAACGGAAGAGCAGAGTAGAGCTGGATAAGAGGAAGAGAGCAGGAGAAGAGGAGAAGGGGGAGGAGAAGCAAAATGGGAGACAGGATGGACTGACAACATATCAAAAACCCTTAGGTGCCGAGTCAGAACTGGACCGATTGGCTGAGCAGAATGTGAAAGTTCCCGATGGGGAGCCTCCTGCTGCATCCTGTTCTTCTGAAAACTTAATCTTTGACGATGTTTCATCATTGAAGAGCTTTGATTCACTGACAGGTTGTGGAGACATCATCGCAGACCAGGATGACGTCAGCGTCGCTGAGAGTTCAGTGTCTGCCGAGAGAGGCAGCCGAAACGCAGGAAAACGGAGCTCGTGTTTTGTCACATATCAAGGTGGAGGGGAAGAGATGGCAACTCCCGATGAGACCGATGCAGATTACTTGCAGAGCTTATGGGAATCTGAAACTAGTAATGAAGTCTGCTACATCCCCACAGACAGGAGCTTGGATAGCCCTTCACTCACCCCTGATCAGCAAATGAGCTCCATCCGTGCCACCTCCAGCAGCAGCCCACTGGGATGCACAGAAACGGCCCTCACTTCTGCTGACCTCTTGAGCCCACAGAGTGATCGGCAAGAGTCGGTACCCAACAGCGATGAGGGATACTATGACTCCGCCACGCCAGGAATTGAGGAGGAGAGTAGAGAACGTCCACACCAGGAAAGGCTTCCAAGGGACAGCTACAGTGGTGATGCCCTGTATGAACTTTTTGAGCCTGATGATCGCCTGATCAGCCCTGCTCTTCCTCCGAAGGATGCCCACTTGCAGGGCGACAAGAATACAACAAACCCTCTGTATGCCCGGGCGTCAACTGGTCTTGAGACCGGAACCATGGAGACGGAGGAGGAGCGTCTGAGCAAGATCCAGCATGCTCTTCTGTGCTGCAAGTTTCAGAATCTCAGAAGCCCATCCAAAGATCAGCTTCTGTTCCATGACGACTGCTTCTACAATGATTCAAGCCTGCCTACAGTTGACACCGGTCAGACAGTTTTGGGAGAAGTTACCAATCAGCACTATCCCCAATCACCACAGAGATCCCAGACTGTAATGGAGCCAGTCCCTCTCAACAGGGGTCAGATTCAGGAGAGTCCATTGTTTGCACCCTGTGCCGATTCGGGGTTTAGTTCACATGTCACCGACACAACCAGACCGCAGCCTCAGTCTGAGGATCAAAGCCCGTTACTACCCACCAGAGGCTGCCGCCAGTCCCAAGAAGAACTGATGGTCTGTTTCTCCCAAGCGCTGGTAGATTTCACAAAGAACACACGGCATTACCGCAACTCTACTGAGAGTCTTGATGGCTCAGAGTCAAGTTCTCCTTATGGCCCGAGTCTGAATGCCCTGCCTGCCATTGTCACATTCGATGTGGTGGACATGGAAAATGAGGGTGAGTGTGAGCAGCAGACCGAGCTTGTTGAGGAAGAGGAAGAGTTGGCTTCTCCTTACGAACCCTTCGAGGATGATGGCTGTTACCTTCAGCAAGATGCCTTTGCCGAGTGTGACCAGCGTACTTTCGATGCCTACGAACAAAGTCTGTTTCTCAGTAACACTTGGGGCATCGCAAGCCTTCCTCGCCACCTCAGTTTGGGTCGACCTTGTCCGCCAGTCCCTGCTCCATTAGCACTAAATCGACGCAGTCGCTCTCTTGACACGGACTGTCTGGAGTTTAAGACAAGTGAGCTTTACACGAGCGTAACCAACTATGACTCAAAGGGGGTTGTGTTTTCACAGCGTAGGACTACTGATTGCAGTGAAATGCCGTTACCACGACAACCCTGCAGGGTTACTGTTGATAGTTGGAGGCGGGGCTATGGCCGGGGTTTTGACTCCAACTCTTCTCAGCAAGAAACGAAGTTGCCACATGTGAGCCAATCCACTGTAAGACCTTCACATCTCCCCCTGAAGAACAACTGCCATAATCCTAACCTCCCTGGTGCCACTAGAGCGGATGGTGAGAGAGAGATATTGTTTGGTGGAGGGGATGCACTTTATCCCTGCAGTTATCCCCCAACAGGCACGCAGTGGAAGAATCGACCTGTCGGAGTCACTCAAGGTGTGCCTCATCTTCGCTCTGAGCAATCTGCAGACCGTCGAGAAATTACCATGAAGAACAGGAGGGGAGAACTTGAGGGTGGCTTCACCCCTGCAACACCCAAATTATAAACTATCTCTCTCAATCAAAATAAAACAATAATAGTAATAGACAAGTCTCGTCACCAAAGACGATGCTGGATGTTTACTGACGTTCTCACACACACACACACACACACACACACACACACACACACAGTAGTTGCTGTTACTGCCGGATAAGCTATAGATTTATTTTGTCTTGTACTGTGTAGTTTTTGAGCTATTTCTAGTTTGAGTATTTGTACCTTGTGTTTTACAGCATTATTCAGCAGGTGCTATCAATATATAGATGCCATATTGCTTTGCATTTATGTAGCCAGGTATTGCCATTGAAATTTATCCATTTTGTTTGGATATGCTATAATTATATTTGCAAAAAAAGACAACAATGCTACAAAATGACTTATTTTAGCATAAGAATGAAAACCTTCATTAGCACATTGAAACCAATATCATCTTAGAATCCTGTTTGAATTGATGAACAAATAGTTTTAATACAACACTTTTTTTTAATTAAAAAAATTATACATGTTTCAAGGTTTTAATCTTTACGTCTTGGAACATTTTCAATATCTTAGTTAGTTTGCCTCACATTTGTTTTCTAATTGTATATGGTCATCATGTTTGTTTTTGGCATAGCACAGACCACATTCATTAGACTGTTAAATCACATCTGCCGTATTCAGTGGCATTTTAGCCAACACCCCGTTACACTTCTGTACACTCTATTTACTGAAGACTCAAGGATATCAAGAATCGGGTTTATTTCCTTTTTGCTGCTAAACAAACAGTATGTGATTAGTTGGGAGAACATAATGTACTGTATTCACTGTATGGATATTTGAGGATTCTCTGGATTCACGAGAATCAGATCTGGCCCAAAGTCTTCAGTAAATGTGATCTATGTAGGCTAGTTGTTAATCAAAGGGTACTATCTTCAGTCATTTGAGACAGAATGTCAGTAAAGCCTTTAATGACGTTATGTGATTGTTGTCTGCTGTTGTGCTGCAGTCACAAATAATCATCTACCCTCATCAGAATGCCAAAGTCACCTTAATGGATTTTCCATTTTTAGCCAGAGCTTATATTCAGCTTTAAAGAATGAACCAACCTTTGTACAACCTTTGAAATCTAGTGCTGTTCTATAATGCTTTGTTCTTTTTTTTTTTTTTTGGTTTTTGTTTTTTTGCAAAGAACCCCCACCCCCCTTACTCGCATTAGTGAAATTAGAAAACCAAAAGCATTTTATGTGTGCGTTTTGTTTAATACACAAGGATGTACTAAGACAAAGAATGTTAGAACACCTCAGTAAAACTTAACTGTCATTAGCCTCAATGTTGTCATTGTCAAATAGGTTTAAAAACATATCAACCCCATCGTACCCCTGACGCAATCTCTTTCCACACAGGAATCAACATTGACTGGAAATAAACCCTTGAGACTTCAGTATTTCAAGTTTGTGGAATGTTTTTTAGTACAGTCCGAAGTGCTGGAGTTTGCTACTGCAGTCGTTTTGTGAGCGTAGTGCAGTTTTACACATTTGGCCTTTTTGAATGTTGTGTCGGTAGAGAATAAAAGATTTATGCGTAAAAGAATAAAAAGTTAGTTTGGAAATGCTTTGCATTGCAGATTTTCAAGAGCATTAAAAAATAATATTGTATATAATATAGGATAATATGGTTATATGACAGCATAAAAGTGTACTGTTTGACCTATCAAGACTGCAATGTCTGTTTTAATGACAAAAATGAAGAATGTATAGTCATGACCTTTACCAAACCAAACTGAAGGTGGTGTACATGACCAATCATAGGCTTTTCTCATGCACTGACTTGTGCACTGTAATTTTCTTTGCTTGAAAGCAATTGCTTGCATAGAGAAACACTAACTGGGACAATGCATCACAGATGTGGTACTTAGGTGAAAACAGCATTGGTCGATGCCTTATTATTTTGTGAGCTAAGGCATTTGCCTGATTAGCAGTGCTGATGCTTTGTTTGATTGACAGGTGGTCTCCGTTCTAAAATCAAGGAGGCTCCAGTTGTCATGGAAACTGGTTGAAGCTGTCATGCTCGTTTTACCGTAATGAGGTGGGGAGGAAATAATAAATAGGCAATTCATGATGGACAGCATATGATGTGTCATATTGTCTTTCGTTCCCTCCCCGCTCGCTTTTCCCTTGTGTGTGCATTATAAATATAAGAGAAGGAATTCGCAGGAATCACTTGAGTATCACATCAGGTTTTGGCTCCCTCTAATGGTGAAATTGTGTCTGAACAATATGTATTGAACCTAGACTGCACAACGAAGAAACATGTTGTGCAGATGTCGTATACACAATTAAACTGAAGGAGCACTTCCTTTAAGTAAATTATTATGTTTGTCATTTGTAGGCCTTAGTAATGTTACATGTGTTGACAATTCAGTATACATTTTGTGTCATGTGATTGTTATTGTTACCCTATCACTCATTAAAATAATCCAGTTCCATAAATTAGCCGGATTTACGCATTTAGCTTAATTTATTTAGCATTTGTCACACTAGTAAAAAAAAACAAAACAAACTTAAGTTTAATCAACTTGGATGTTTGTAATTTCAACGTAAATTACATTAAACTGATTTAAATTATTGAATTGTACATCCCCAAATCAGAAAAAGTTGGGACATTTTGTAAAATGCAATGAAATCAAGAATCTGTTATTTGTTCATTCTTTTTAACCTTTTTTTAACTGACAAAAAATGCAAAGAAAAGTTTTGTAATGTTTTCGCTGACCAACATAATTGTATTTTGTAAATATGAACAAGTTTGGATTTTGATGGCTGCAACACACACCCAAAAAGTTGGGACAGAGACATGTTTACCACTGTGTCAAATCGACTTTCCTTTTCATGACACTTTTTAATCAGTAAGGATACTAATTTTTGGAGTTTTGCTATGGAATATTTGCCCACAACAGCCTAGTCTCAACAGTGGTCGCCATTGCCTGATTCTCCTTTTCATGAGTGTCTAAAAACAATTTCGTTGTAACACGTGCGGAATGAGGTCTTGCCTCCCAGGAAAGATGTCATCTTGATGGCAGTTTACTGTATGTCTCTGTACAATCCAAATATATGCATTCATGTAAATGGTACCGTCCCAATAATGCAAGTTACCGTTTGCAATGATGCACCTCAATACTAGGACAGATGTTTGCTTTTGCACCTGTCGCTAGTGAAAGTCTGGTTGGTCCCTTTCGTCTTTGGGACTGAGAACTCGATCTTTGCTTAAAAAGACTGAGAAACTCTTTTACACCCAAACTTGACACCCTCAACTTTCACCTGCGCTTTGTGTACTGTTTCAAAATAGTTGGATAGTCGTTTAACTTTTATTTGGTCTCTGTCCCAACATTTTTGGGGTGTATTGCAGCCATCAAAATCAAAATTTGTTCATATTTACAAAATTATGTTGGTCAGTGAAAACATTGGAAAACGTTTCTTTGTACTTTTGTCAGCTAATAAAAGCTTAAATAGAATAAACAAATCACAGACTCTTAATTTTATTGCATTTTACAAAATGTCCCAAGTTTTTCTGATTTGGGGTTGTATAAAAATAAGTTGAACATTGCTTGATAATTATTTTGATGAGTTAAAGCAAACGTCATAATTTATTGATCATATTTTTTACAGCGACTTACAAATGACATGCGTATAATGAAATAGTCTTTTTAAATATTTTGATATTTATATATATATATATATATATATAAAAAGAATATTGTAATGCAAAACACTGTCTTAAAGTGAGATAAAAAAAAAAATTAAACCAACGTTCGTTTTGCTCAAGATTTTTCCTACGAGAATAGTCCACCGCTCCATTAGAGGGCACTCTCGCCTAAATATAGCCTACGGCTGAAACAGCAGCAGTGCTTTGATTGTGTGTAGTTCTGGTGCCTAACTACAAACGTACAACAGCTTAGTCATCCAGGTGAGTCACAGCATGCACAACTGATCTAAATTTGTGGAAATAAAATTTCAAAGTTCACACAGCATTGGAAGCACACTGACTGATAGGCTTGCTTGTTTACTTCCTCTGTCCTGACCTTATCCAATCAGCATGCAGAATATCATTGCATTACTGCAGGATGCACTCACAGGGGCAACTGCAATATTTTATTACAAAGGTAAAACCACATTATTCAGAGTTTATTTATTGCCCGCTCAGCACTTTGGAAATGTTTTTCTCTGTGGGGAGAACATTATCACCATGTTTGTCTGAATTCAAACAGATGGCTGGTTCACTGGTGCACACTGCAGGTCATTTAGCTAAAGAAAGTCGTATTCCACAAAATCTATGCTAGTTTTGGCCTACCACCAGATTTGTGCTGCATGTGGCCAGATTATAATATGACCTATTTCCACATGGTTTGCGTGTGCATGTTGATGATTCCTCCATTGGCACGGAGCTGTGTGTGATGAGTCTCCTTCTCAGGAGAGTAAATTACATAAGCCTTCAGTCTCTTTCTCTCGCTCCCTTAACAGTCCTGGCATTCATCCCAGATGTCATGCACACACATGGGTATTGGAGAGTTTGTAGACAAGCTTGTACTTTTGCTATTATTGCGATTGTCTCTGATTTCTTAATCTTGAAAGGGAAAGAAACTTCAGGACATGGAAACATATTCTTGGACAATACCATTATGCTGATACCATGGTGTTCTTTGAAGTACCTTGATTAAACAGTGTGCATATGAAGATCATTTAGTAGCAATCAAATTGTACTGCTTAACACTATTTTAAAAGTAATTTAATAGTATTTTTTAGATTTTAGGCTTAAAGGGATACTCCACTATTTTGGGAAATAGGCTCATTTTACAACTCCCTCAGCGTTAAACATTTGAGTTTTACAGTTTTCTAATCCATTCAGCCAATTTTCTGATATTTAGAAGAATATGAGTAAATTGGAGGCCATTTTGAACCCTTCAAATTGCCATTGTACTGCCAAAATCCCTTTTGTGTACTGCTTTGTACTCAATTTTATAAGTATTTTTAGCCCAGTTTCACAGACAATTGGCTGTCTGAACTGAAAGCAAATTGCATTTACATATCTTAAAATATGTCAGTGCCATTGTTTTTTCCTCAAGATGCACACTATGCTTTTTCTAAGGCACATTTCAAAAGGTTACTTAAATGTCCTATTATTGAACTAAGGGCTAATCCTGGCTTAATCTAAGCCCTGTCTGTGAAACCAGGCCATTTATTTTTATCAGCAATCTAACGTTATTTTTGAGATTTTAGGTTTAATAGTAGTAAAAATCACTTTCTTAAAATCATCCATAGATCTGGAAATGACATTAGCCTGGTGCTCAAGACTTCAAAACCTCCTTTTATGTATAGATAGAGCAAGACTTCCACAATATAAAAGCAAATAGCTTCATGTTTAATTTATGAAAGTGTGTGCTCTCTTCGCAGCTGATTTATTTATGACTCAAAACACATATGCCACAAAATACACTATTCTAAATAGTGCTCTGGGAATGAAGTAAAGCTTATGAT